AGTATATCTTCCATACCTCTGATTGTTTAGATGCGATTTTTTATATAAGTATGTAACTCCTCTATCGATGTATGCAGATGTATTCAAAAGCAGTAATCTGTCAAAGTAAAATTTGCAGATGTTCATGAAAGGTATGAAGCCTTCGGCATAGCCGAAGACAGCGCTGCTCTTACTTGTTTTAATTTCTTTTGCATTCAACCCATGCTAAGCATACTTGACTTCTTTGCGGCATTTTTGTGGCGAAAAATACTTTGCCTGCATTTTTTTTTTACTCATACCTATACCCATTTTTCTTGTGGTTACTTGTGGTGGTTTTGGTGGCACCCAGATGTAGGTACACTTTTCAGACGCTGGCTGTAATACCAATACAAGTTAATAACATTGTTTGGCAACAAAGTATGCAAAAATTGTTGCATACTGCGCGGCGTTTTTATTAAAGCCAACTGACTTTAACTTTATACGAATTAAACACTTTTTAATATTAGACGCAGCTGCACAATATTAAAGTTTAGTAGCGATTAAATTTTATTTTTTCCTTTGTCTTCATTTTTAAACTACATGGAACTTTTGAAAAGTTCCGCCCGAATAGTTTTACCAATCTCACACAAAATTTTGTGTTAATTATCAGCCTGTCGCACACTTAAAGTTTTTAGGTAAATTGACTACTGCTCCAACTTTGGGCGCACAGTTCGCGTATCCATTAAACGTGACATTTATTTTTAAGCTACATAACTAGTAAAACCAACCACACATGCACTGCCTTCTGGCAACTCTGCGCAGACATTTGCAATAGTAACGTGAAAGTATTTTCAAATTCGACTAATGTGTGCTGAACTTCGTTTATTTAACAGTGTGGTGCTATTAAGTTTTACGCCAACTATGCACATGATTGTCACATGCTGCGATATCTTCTGCATACTATTTACTTGGATATGGCAGAAACTTACTACGCCCCTCATTTGCCCAGCAAATGATTTTCTTCCACTTTTAAGTACGTATTTGGGGAATATTAAAACACAAAGCAGCTAAATTTTCGTTGGTTTTAAAGCGATAGTAAAATATTATGGGGAAAGCAGTGATGGATATTAGAGGCGAGTGTGCTACTCAATTAAATCTTTTATACGCTTGAATCATCGAAGCGAATCCAAAAGCGGGGCTGTGTGGTTTTTTTTCTCGAACTAAGACGACTACTTTAAAGGGAAGTTAGATTTCTTCCGCAATAAAATAGGCATAATCGTAGATAAGACCTCCAAGACCTTAACAGTCTTCTGGAAATGTAAACAAGTAAGAGCTAACACCTATACGATAAGACCCTTTACACTGTGCAACAATTCCAGAGTCAATCTCTGCGGCCGAATGATTTGAATGCAGGATGAAAGAGCTAGACCCATATAGGAGAACCTCCAAATCTTTTTGCAATCTTAGGTAAACTTTTTTTTAACCTTTTGAACTTTTGCCTGACCATTTTTAGAACAAAGGTGTTAAAATTCATATCGGAGCGAAAAATGTAGTTTGGGTATAGAAAGCAGAATTTCACAAGGAATAATTGTGTAGATTTTGTAGAGATTTAAACCTTAGCTCTCTTACGAAAAGATCATTTTAACCGCTTTTTTTGGAAAGTCAGAATAAAATGTCATTTAGTCGATAGCTAAAGGGTTAAAATATTCCAGAGAGTTATTCGACGGCAAAATTTCACTAGCGATGTCCTCACACAAAATCTTTATACGACGTACATGTCAGCATGTGACTACGCCTAATGAAACTTTCCGACGAATAATTTTCTAGAACATTTTAACCCGCTACCAACCTTCCAAATGCTATTTTACTCAGACTTTCCAAACTAGGGGTCAAAATGGTAATCTCTTGCGAAAGCTAATGGGTTAAAAGTTCTACAGAATTTTTCCGCGTGAAATTTTACTATATATACCCAAAGTACATATTTCGTTCCGATAAAAATTTTAAACCTTTTCCCCTCTTATTCCAAAAACACGCAGGCAAAAAATCGAATCGAGAATGTAAAAAGATTGAGAATGCTAAACCTAACCTCACGTAACGCCTTTATCCGCGGGAATACTTTTAAGTTCGCTTGTAGGTTTAAAAGATTAAGGTGCTGAGGAGGGTGGTAGAAATTGCTTTAGGCAGACTAGGTTCTACTGTCTAATCACTACTAGAAAAAAATTTACTTTAGAAGTATTATGCGAAAAATAGAAAATGCAAAGAAGGAGAACATTTTAATCAAAAAGGAGGACATTTTGTTTTTAGGCAAAAAGGAGGGCAGTCCTCCTCACCCTATCTAGACGCAGTTTTTCGTCTAGTTTGAGAAAAGTGGTTTCGAGAAAAACGCGTTTAAAGCTTTACAAGTGCTCAGCGGGTGGTCCGAAGTGCTCCCGGCAAGTCGATGGCTCAGCTATTTAAACATTTTCCTTAGATGTAGAACGCAGTCAATATTGTTACAAACAATGATATTTAGTAAAGAATTGTTTATATATGTAAAAAAATCTATTTTGCAAAAAGTTTAGAGTGAGGTTATCCTTAAGAAAGATTTTCTAAATTTTTTGATGCTGCGGGTTTTATCGGCAGTGTCGAGTAAAGGATTTTCCCCCCGTCCCGCATTTTGATGAATTTTTTAATACTTTCGCGATGCCGCTCACCCTGGCCATTTTAAAGGTAAATAGTACCGTGGCTACGATAATCTGCGACCATCTCTAATGGCTATATCTTCGAAAAAAAATGCAATTTTATACAAACATACTTTATTGCTGAAAATATCCATTTTCAGATTTAAACATACATACATATACACGTGTGTATGTATGTATTGACATCTCATAAAAACTTCAAATAAAAGTATGTATTTAATTTTCATCACTACCATAATATGGCAAATCGACTACTTATCACAACACGAAGCGCAGAACAAGTGCAAATATTAAATTAAAAATATAAAATTTTTATGTCAATACGATGGTTGGTCAGATCGCCAATTGAAGTTTTCCACTTGGCCAATGCTCTCTCACTTCACTGCAAGCACCATTACGTATATACATACAATTGCCATGAAAATCCAATGACCACCATAACGGAAGATAAAAAGGAAATAAGAACTGTAACGAACGATCGAAATTATTATGAACTTAGTGGAGAGAAAAGTAGAAAAGTCGCAGAAAAATATTGGCGTAAATGCAAAATTGTAAAACTGCGGAACTTGAAGTGAAACACTCGTCGAAGAAGTGAGCAAGAATAGAGCGAAAAAAACAACGAAATAAAAACTTGTTAAAATAAGTTTATGTTCGTCGGCGACCGGGACCCCTTGCACCGCCTCTTGGCCCTGCAATGTAATCGATTTAACTGCTCGTTCGCCTCCCATTTCCTGCTGTGGCACAGAAATCACAACGCTTACGACTGGCGAGTAGTAGGTCGTAAAAGAAAGAAAGAGGAATAACGAACTTAGTAAACTAAATTT